TTTCTGGTCCCAAAAGGTGTTTCTGGTCCCCGCCTGTCATTTTGCTCCTCAGCATAGCTGCCTAAAAATGCTGAAAGATTTCTCAAACATGCATGAATGAGTCAAAGCAAGGCTTTGGGCATGTTTTTATGAGAGTATGACATTATAACATGATATAAAACTCAAAAAAGTTGATTTTACATGATATTGCCCCTTTAAGGACAGACTGTAAAATGGGCATCCAAACTTCGGGACTGGAGAGGATGGAATAGTCTGACTGCAGTCCTGACCTCAACCCCAGTGAACACCAGTAGGAGCATCTTGGGCATGCTGGTTCTTCCAGAGTGACCAACACGAGCAGTATAAGGAGACGGCTGTTGTGACTGTGTATGGTTCTTCCACATGCCACTGAAGTCCCTGGTTGTTAAACAAATAAATTGTAAAATTCTTCAGACTTCAATAATAGAATCAAAATAGAATCTAAAACTAAAAACACCAACACTAATCAATAGCCGAATAAGCTGTTTACCACTGACAGAAAAGATTTGGCAAGTTTTTCTTGGATGCAACCCACTAATTCAACTCTTATTTTCAACCCACAAAACACATTTTCCTTTCAAATATGGCACCATTGAAGGGGAAATAAACAGACTTTATAACCGTGTAAGATTTATTGCCAAGAAGTATTGTTACAACAAAGAAATAGTCAACCAAATGTTCTTCCTTTTTTCTGCTCGGTTTAGTTTGTTTAGGCACTGGATATCCTGGGATTCTTGCTGTTTGACAGAGCAGTCTTACTGTAAGACATTGTGTTAGTTTTAATATCCACAAATTTAAGCCAAAAAAGCTGACTAACACAAACCAATTTCTGCACTTGTGGAAGCTGCTTTATTTATCGCCTGCTCCTCTGCTCAAAGTTAGCGGAAATGAGAAGGTCAAYGCTTCAGTCAGGTCCGTCCATTAAATATGAGGCTCCAACCTGGAGACAGTCAGCTTAGCCTAATATAAAAGCTGGACGAGGTGGGAAAACGTCTCGCCTGTCTCTCTTCGCACATCAAAAAAAGAAGTTATGCATTATATATTACCTTTGCTGTGAGGTTACCAGGTGGGAGAGACAGCAGTAAGTCAATGTGCCTGGCGCTAGTTACAAAGAGATCTGCTGTATCCAAAATCACTATCTGCTGATTTATGTTTGTGCTCTCTGTTTGCCTCTCATGGTTTGATTGTCTGAACTCAGAAAGAGAGATTTTTTTAAACTCCACTTTTCTAGGGGAAAAAATTGCATTACCCAAATACTATATATTTCTTTATAAATGCCAATCAGCTTTTTGTTTTAACTAAACATTTGTTATTCTTCCTTTTATCATCTGTGTGCATCATCTTTTGTTATTTCTTTAAACACTCAGGAGAACTTTAGAAGGTATCAACGAAAAACACCAATCAGAGACGTTGTTTCATGARCCATAATGATGACGGGAAATCAAAGCCAACACTGTGTGGTTTCTGAAATCACACAGCTATGTCATATTTTTGATGGAGATGAAAGAGACTTTCAAAGCTAGTCCAGTTATTTAAAAATATAATAAAAAATGGGGGGAAAAAATGACAGCACTTTTATTGAATGTTTGTGTTTCGCTCTACAGAATGTTTTCTGTTTGGGGGTTTGGTACTAGAAATACTGCTCTTAGCGTCTCATGATGAAACTGAGTAGTTTCATCATAGGCTCTCCTAAAATCTTTACACGTAAGGTATACAGTCTATCTCGCGAGCAAGATTTGTGAAATTGAGATCAACTGTTTTCAACTAACCTTGGCTTGAGTCAGATATTTCCAATAAAACACTGTTTTTATGAGAAAAAGAACTGAAAACATGTTTTTGYCTGTTTGGTCTCTTTCAGGTGGCCGGTCAGGAGGAGATCATGAGTGTTTCCAAGGAGGACCTGGTGGCGTATTTGTCCAATGACAGTCTGAACACAAAGGCTGAGGAGCTGGTTTATGAAACTGTCATCAAATGGATCAAACAAGACCCCAACTCCAGAGTTCAGGTAATGAAAAATGAAAGACATTTGGGTGAATGAAGAAGTGTTTTTTTAAAGAGGAGTATTATGCAAAATTGACCCTTTTTAAGCTTTATATCATGTTACAGTGTCATTCATCAAAATACCCAGAGTGTKGCTTTGTTCATGCATGTTTGAGAAATCCTTGGARCTGCCTAAATGCCTGCTGGTAWAAATCACTGGATTTTATGCTGCGTTCCATTTACATCGTATTCTGGGAATTGATAAATGGTAGTGACGTCATTTCCCAACAAACCATATGAAACTGCCTTCCAATTAGCCGACAGRYGATTGTATTGTTGCAGCTAACCTAGCTACAACACTGCTACAATGTAAACAATGACAAAAAGAGAGCTGTACTACRTACGTCATGCAAATAAACGTTGATTTTAATACGTACAGTATTACACAGAAAACACACTACTTGTGCGAGTGATTAAACATGCACAAAAAATTAAGAAAGATAATTAATAGTAAAAGTTATGGCGTTAACTTTCTAAAGCTGCGAGTAGCCGCCATCTTGAAATTGAAACTTGGGGCAGTTTCATTTCTTCCACTTTACGAGTGGAATATTACCACTGGAGGGGGTGTTCCAGTTTAAATCTACCAATGGGAACTGGGAAATTACCACTTCCCAGGACTACTGAAACGCAGCATCAGTTCATAGCTCCTCCCTGGAGCTCAGTCTGCAACTGAGCACCCAAACCACAGAGCACCCCTCCCCTGAAGCATTGTTTCAGGTTCTTAATGCTTGCTGATGTTTTTTTATTGTTTTATCTTTCCGTATAACTTAGCACCTTTGTAAAGCACTTTGTGACCCTCTGTCTGTGAAAGGTACTATATAAATAAACTTTTACTTTACTTTACTTTACTTTACTTTACTTTACTTTACTTTACTTAAAGGGACAGAGGCCAATTTCAGAAAATTTATTTTTGATACATATACAACATTTTCTTATCAAATGCAGGTAACATATTTACTAGATTGTGGTATAGAATTGAACTATGTGCCTGGAAAATACATAATTGCCCCCCCCCCCCAAAAAAAAAGTAGGTTCATGCTGTACCTTTGTCATCAAACAAAAACAAGATGAAGCTCTCGTTACCTTTGACAGCAAAGATCCTGTAGGTATGTAGAGCAGCATTAAAACAATTGTTCTGTCTTTTCCAGGCGATGCTCAGCATGAAAAACCAGACAAGTAGCTCCTTGTTCTCTCCTGGTAGTGTTCATCAACTTTGTTCTGAAGACGTARCCTAACGCAGCAGTTGTTCTGAATCCCAGGGGTGATTTGCCCTCAGATTCTGCTCTATTCTTAGTTTCATTTCAGTTGTGAGGTTCAGTTTTGCACTGAAAAACATCAAACRCAGACAACCGTGATCCTCCTCCTGTCGTCCAAACAGGTGTTAGATGTRTTCCTGAAGGCCGTTAACCATAATCGAAGGTTACATCACTGAGATGGGTATTGACAGATAGGTGCAATGGGTCAAATTTTAGCCGGCATGTGATCGATGAGGCTCAAGGTGAAAGCGTTGTCTTTATGAAAAGGTAAATGGACTCCAGCAGAGAAAACAAAAAAAAAAAAAGAAAAGAAAATCAGCTTGTGAGGTATTTATGGGTTCATRAATTTGATGTGGATGATTTTAAAATATTTTATAGCGGCTTTAAAATGGAGTTGAGATGATTATCTGATGAATTGCACCGGCCGTCATCGTGAGAATCATTCCGCTCCAAAGTAATGTCTTCTCATCAAACAGCAAGTGGAGAAACTGCCTCATATCAGCTGGATCGGATTCAGTGCAGGCCTCGGCAATCAATGTTACTTTATTGGCACACGCTTTTATGAGGCACGTACGTCAATGTTTGGATTTTTCACCTTTTGGATTAAACCGTTAGCATTTATCTTTTGATATGTGGAACTGTAGTGATTGTGGAGAAATCCATCTGAAGGTGTTTAGCTGTGCAGAGCATCTAAGTCTGTGCAACGAGATATTGGGATAAAACTCTTATAATAAAGGCACTGAAACAGAAATTTGCATGGCGGGAAAGTAGAACAGTCACACATTTTCTTAAGCGTACAAGCAATTTTTWGGAAAATATCAAATCCCCCTGCCGACCCTAGAGTCAGCGCGGTCCAGTGGACTTCTCCAATCTCACAGTCTATTGGAGAGGTGCAGATGTGGGTTAGTCAGATGAAGTGGAAGAAATTTTCCCGGTTGTCTGAACAACCCACCACAGTGGTTCCTGAAACGAGACACCAGGGTCAGCTCGCCTTAGGGGAGAAGGTGGGGGGCATCAGAGAGATAGGGAGTATCAGAGCAAGGTGAAAAACAGAAAAGAACTTWAAAAGTGGAATGGCAAAAGCCTACGCCCCTGTGTTCTGATCTGATATCCAGTGGTTTGTGTCTCTGCACAAAAAGCCGTGACACCCAGGGAGCCGTGATGTGATTGAGCTCGCAGTCAAGCTCAAATCCTCTGCCCATATGTAACTGGAAAAAACTAGCGAGCCCGCCGCCTGAAGAGAGGACAGAATAGGAGGAAGAATGAGTCGGCTGACTCCATAATGCCACAGGAGATATTTGATGTGACCCTGAAGGCTGGGTTTATACGCATGGTCCAACTCTGGCTCGTCATTGCCTTCCTCCCTCGCTTCAGTCCCGTCTGCCCGTTCAGAGGCAGAGCATAGCGGAGATCACTCCCCCAGAACCTGTGACACTTTTTAATGACATGTCAGGGCAGAATGTCACAGCACTGCTGGAAAAAAAATAATTCGGCAAGGAAAGAGAGGAAAAGCCTTAAGCCATGAGCCAAGTTGGTGTGTTTACATTCATCTCAGCCTCATGCGTCTTTGTAGGTTTATGTGTCTGCGCGTGTGCTGTGAGTCGTAAGCTGCAGGCTATAGAGTGGAAAAGTGGCATATTGAAGGCACTGGGTAAATAATATGCAATTTTCTCTCTCCACTATGCTGTCACTAACAACCAATGACACCGGGAAATGGGGGCCCGGACATCACTTAGAGACAGGGAGAGCATTTGGGCGTTGGGAATGGTCTGCAGTGAGACTCAAAGCAACTGAATGAAAGTCAAATGTGTGCTGTGCTGTACATGTTTATATCAGCATAAAGATGTGAATGAAAAAAACAAAAAGATTTGCTAAAGCTTTATAAGAAATTGATGGGGCCTCTCAACACAGGAGCATCTGCAGAATTTATTGCAAAGACAAGTAGGAGATAAATCTTGGTTGAATATAATAGATGAAGAAAAATATTTGTAGGAATATTTTGACAGATTTCCTGTGAGGTTTTTTTTTTGTTGTTCTTTTAACTAAATTTTGAAGAATATTCTGAGATTTATTATTTATCCATCAAGTCAGCCATTATCTTAACCAGCTTCTTCTTTTCAGTGTCAAGGGGGTCGCTGGTATCCATATCAAGCAGTCACAGTGCGAGGGGCGGGGTACACCCTGGACAGGTTGCAAATCCATCACAGGACTACAGAGACAAACGAGATGAACAATTATCGACTCTCTCACTCACACCTAGGGACAGTTTAGAGTTATCAATTAGCCTAACATGTTTTTGGTTTGTGGGAGGAAACTGGAGTACTCGGAGAAAACCCACACATGCATGGAGGGAACATGCCCAGAAAGGTCCCCAGCCAGGATTCAATCCGGCAACCTTCTTGCTGGGAGACCACAGCTCTTCCAACTGAGCCAAAGATTTATGGATCAGTTCATTAAAATAGAAAAATCACGAGAGTCTGATAGCCTGATCCTTGTGTCTTTTGTTTTTGGAAGGTGTTCATGAACATGATTTTATTTACAGTGAGGAGGAAGTCTAGTTTATGTAACTTCAGGTTCTCATCTCTGCTTTATGCAGATAATGCTGTTCTGTAGATGACTTTAAGCTTTGACCTTCAGCATGCACAGCTGGGTGTGAGGTGGCCAGAATGAGCATCAGCCCCTTTAGGTATGAGACCATGGTTCTCATCCAGAGAAAGGTGGAATGCTCCCTCTGGGTTGGAGATGAGTCGTTGCCTCAAATGGAGGAGTTCAAAGACATTGATGGCTTGGTCATGGATGATGACATTTGGAGCAGAAGTACTTACTGCTTGGAGCTTCACCTTCAGGAATGAGGGTATTGCTTTGGTCAGTTGTGATGAAAACAGCTGATCTGAAAGGCAAAACTTCAGACTTACTGGTCTATTTACTTTTTAATCCTCACCCAGGGTCCCAAAAGCCTGAACCCAAGTACTAAAATATTTTTCTTTGTAGGATGGCTGGGCTCAGCCTCACAGATAGGGTGGGGAGTTCTGTCATCTGGGGGGAGCTTAGAGTAGAGCCGCTACTCCTCTGTATCGAAAGGAGTCAGCTGAGGTGGTTCGGGCATCTTATTAGGATTCCTTCTCTACRCCTCCCTTTAGAGGTGTTCTGGGTACGTCCCACTGGTAGGAAGCCCAGAGGAAGACCTGGGACTCACTGTAGGGGATATGTATCCTCTCTTGTCTGGGAACAGGGGTCCCCCAGGACAAGCTGGGAAATGTTGCTGGGGAGAGTGCTGTCTGTCTGAGACTTGACTGGACATAAGTGGTAGAAGATGGAGATGAAGATGGAGAAGTTCAGTCATTTGGTAAGAGCTCTGCCTAGAACTGCGGCTCCTCTGAATTGAAACGATTTAACTGAGGTTGTTTGGGTATCCGATTAAAATGCCTTCTGGACTTTTTGTGGTGTTTAACTCATGTTCTAGGAGATGACCAAGAGAAAGACCCTAAACTTGCTGATGTAATTATACCATCTCTGCTTATTTAAGGTCAGGCCATGGAAGCAACAGGAAGGGCAGAGAAACCCAGACAGCACTACTCAGTGACACTCTCCAGCCTTTTTCTTTGGTATTCTAAGGCATTTCCAGGCTATGAATGTATGTATGTATGTATGTATGTATGTATGTATGTATGTATGTATGTATGTAT